CTGTAGTAGCGAGAGGAGATTTCATTGAGTCTCTGTTATGTGACCATGTTTGGTAAAGCTCTTCAGGCAGTCTGACCAAACCCCTTGACCGATTGGCACGCACACACACTTACACACACACTGAGAGGAGATGGTTTCACTCACAAACCCACTGGAGCTCAGAGTCAGACCTCCCCCTCCTTCTTATATAAATCTCTCACTTTTCCACGCTTCCTTCACATCCCTCGCTTCGTCTAATCCTCTCGTTGCACCCTTTCATCTCTTTCTGAAAGTCTCCGTCTGTGCTTCACCTTTGCTCTTTGAATATCTCACATAAATCCAAAGAAAATACACACATCCAGCCACCACTATCAGTGCTGGACTAGTTTAATAAGCTTCTGTCTGGATGACTTACACTGAATAATGCAGGTTATTCCCATTGCTGACTTCATTGATATGAATAGACGGCTGCAGGTATCTAAAAAGCCCAGAAGTGAGTCAGCATTTTAGCATTTCTGTTAGCTTGTCTCAAAGTCAATGGGGTTTTGGTAGAAGTCTGAAGTAAGGTATGTGGTTAACACACGTTTAAGAGACTTCTATGTTTTGTTATACAACATAAAATACGTCAGTAAATACCCCACTGTTGAATGTCTGAAGGTTCTACGTGTCTTAATAACAGCAGATGCTAACAAGTGTCTAAACATCATCACTGGGTGGAAAAATCCCATTGGCTTTTTGTCGAAGGAGGCCTTGAGATTCCCAGGATGACCAACAAAAATACGTCATCCCTGCTCCAAGCTATACTGTAGGAGCAAAAGTAAAAGCTGGCATTCTAAGAATGAACATTTAAACGCACAATAGGTCACTTTTTTTTTATGTAGCATAGTATCATGGGGATTGTTGACTTCGCCACCATTGCTGTCCATTTCTCCCGGTTAACGCTGGTTAAGTAATTGTTGTTCAGAGGTTTTTTACCGAAGCCAAATTATCCACAGAAGTCTCCCCCTCTTCAAAACAAATGGACCAGGTGATTAAAACACAGAATAAAGCAGTTTTACGTAAAAGAAAATGGTGTTTTACTGGTGGAGATAGGACACTGGGCCTACTAGCTAACGGCTAGTTAGCTTAGCTTGTTTCTGTAAGAACTTCTGTCCAAGACGTACAATGACATATCTTTTGTCTGGTTAACATATATAGTTAAATAACAGCCAAGATCTAAAAGTATAGCTTACAAATGTAGCTTAAAATTGGATAAAAAGTAAATTTGTGATAGCTTCTAGAAGATACCGATGCTAATACATACAGGAAGATTTCTCTAGGTTTACAAATTGGTCAAAACATTTGGGATGATTGAAGAAGGCAACTCAACAAAATATCTAACATAGGTGCAGGGCCGTCCCTGGCCAACATGAGGCCCCAGGCAAGGTAAGGTGAGGCCCCCTCCGCAAGGTGAGGCCCCACGCAGTCTGCATGATCGGCCTGTAGGGAGGGACGGCCCTGCATAGGTGTAGTAGTATTTTAGATATTTAAAATGCAGAATGTTATATATTTAACCTGTAAGTGTAGAGTAAGAACGAAAGAGCCAGGCAACCGTTTTCTCTTGGTCTTCAACTTTATTGAAGAGCAACACTTTCAAGTAAGTCTCAACTTCCAGCACTACAGTTACATGATCATTAGTAGTGGTCATTGTAGACGACGCTCAGACGAGGCCTGCGTGTAGTGTAGGCTGTTTCACATTAAAATCTCCAGAAAACAAAGAAATGAAAGAGATTGCATTGCATTAAAAGACAAAAATAAAAAAAAGTCAAAGAGGGGGAAACAACACAAGCCACACTGGCAAGTCAATCAAAAGAAAAATCATATTTGCTGTCAATTTATCTGCAATTTTTCCAGTCATTTTCAATCAATATACAATTCTTAATCCATGTTATTTAATAGAATCAAACTTGACATCAAAACTGCCCAAGTACCAGGTGTAAGATTTACTGTTTAAGTACCAGATTCTGATGCAGCTCTGTTTTAATGTACCTAAGAAAGAAGAGAAATTAAACACACTTAAAATTCGTTTAATTGGTGCATCAGTGTTCAATACTTTGATATACACAGGTTTGTATATACCTTAATAATATATATCTTTAAATATATTCATTATTTGACATAATGAACGTTGGCCTCCCCAAAAAAAGAAAGAAAAGGCAAATGTGGTTGTTCTAACCTGATACGATTCAGATCCCGGCCTTTACAATAGCAGCCTTTTTAATTTTTTTAATCCATCAATTCGTTCTGTCCGAACATCCCCAGGGTGCGAGACACATATATCAGGTGTTGAAATATATTCTGTAGAAAACCCTGAAACATACAAAAACTCTCTCCGGTACATTGCAATTCTCGTGAGTGTCGTTTTACTTTGTGCACGAGCAGTTTAAAACTCAAAGACGGCAAAACAAAACAAAACGAAGAGGTGCACCTTCATTCCCCACAGTGTACTCTGATTATTTTAGTTTTTTTTTGATATTACAGTTTCTTTCTACAACTATTCACAGCTTCGAGATTAGGAGGCTGGAGAAATGAGATGTTAGCCTCCCCGTTTACTAACCTGTCGTAAAGTGAAAAAATATAATTTCCATTCTGACCGCCTCGGGACACTGGGAGCGCATCTCTAATGCCACTAAATAACTAAAATCACAACATTCATAGAGACATACCTCCCTGTATTTCAGGAGAAAAACACAAAACTCCCCGAGAAAAGGGATCAGCTTTGGATTATAATACTTGGCCGGATTAATCATTGTGCAGGCAAGAGGTTATAAAAATATATACAAAGAGTATACATGTGGAGTACAGAGGAGATAATCACTGGGTATTACATTGGAAAGTCATGCTAATCCAAAACCTGGCTGCATCACATCCACCGTTTGTGTTAAAAAAGGCACAAGATACTGTAGCCCCTCCTCTGTGGTGATGACAGACAGACAGGAGGTCGTCTCCATAGCAACACAGTGAGATATTCTCCATTATCTGTTCCAATTAAAGGCTTAAAGGGGAACTCCACCGATTGGACACACACAAGCTGTTTTCACGTCTTGGGAAGTGCCACTACATAGGTTAAAAATAAATAAAAAATGGGTTTGTTTCGTACAACTATATGTGTAATATACAAATAAATATAATTGGGCAGTATGAGCTGCTATTTGCTGTTTTTATGTGCTTTTTAAATTGGCAAAAACAAATGAAACCTGACTGACAAAAAAGGCAGAAGGAGCCACCATTAGAACACCTGAAATGCTAGAATGAAGTGGTGCATTATGGGTGATGTAGTACCAAGTTGTGGATTTCTTTTTGGAAAGACTTAATGTTTTAATTAGCATTTTACTTTTGTGAAATAAGAAAACCTGACTGGAAAAATTAGAAATAAACAAAAACGGCATAATTAGCGGCAACACACCTGAATTGAACTGTTGCATTATGGGCAATGTAGGCAAAAGCTTTAAGTCAAAGAAAAAGAAAAGTTAAATAAAAATACTAAGTGTGTATCTGTTTTAATACACATCTTAAAATTGCAAAACACGGATACATTTTTATTTAAAAGTGTGTCACAGTGACGTACCTTAAATGCATTTACTCTACATTGAAAAGTTAATAAATAGTGACAGAGAAAATAAAATTAAAAGTCACCTTCATACAAATAGCAATATCGTTTTTCCATTGTTGTTTTAATGACGTCACTTTGACACACCCTATTTTTTCTCCTTATATTAACGTGAAATCCTTGCAGATTTTTTTTAAGCTATAGCTTTGGTTAAGATGCAAACTTCATTCAGATGGAAACTTGACATCGTGATTTCCCCATTTTTAAATCGGTGGAGTTCTCCTATAAGCAACAATGACATTTATACATTTCTTGCAGTGTGACAAAAGCCTGTATCTCTGTCCATCATCATATCAGTGTACAACGAGTAGAGTTCATGAAGTTGTAAAAAAAAACCTGCCACACAGAGAATGTGGTTAATGATTAGCGAGTCGGTCATACAGAGCTACTGTATGAGAATTAACTGTACAGACATGCGGCGAGGAGGAAAGTAAATAACAAATACATGCATTCAGTCCGCTCCGAGAGGCGAGACATTTTGGAAGACAAACCCCTTTTTAAGCATCGGATTAATGCAGTTTCATATCTAGATGTTATTCATCTATCGTGACTAGTCGCTAAGGCATCACAGAAATATGTTACCATGCTCTGAAGTGATTTACAATTTATACAGAAAAGAAAAACAACAACATGCAGATTGCCATAAATTGATACATCCAAATTATGTAGAAACGTTTGAAAAGAAATTGTCGTATTGCTAGCATTCCTACTGCTGACATTCTGCAAGAAAAAGAGCACCATGTCAGTGTTTCTGAAGGGCTTCAATTATATCGTTCGCACTATGATTGTGCCAACTTGTGGAAAGAAAGTGGGGGAAAAAAGTCCAAATGTTTGTGGACTTTTCCCTTTCCCTTGTAAGATTAGATTCTCAGTGTCACGGAGAACAAAAAAATGTGATCAGAGGAAGTATAAAGACTTCCA